CGTGTTTCTTCGTTCTGGTGATCTTCCTCTATAACTTGAGTTATATGGTGATTGATTTCTTGTATAATTTGTATTGTTCGGGAGTGGTTTTCCTGAACTGTTGTTGCTGTAGACTGTTTTGTTCGGTAGATTTTGATCTTTTTTCATGTATTGATAGAATGATTTATTTGGTTCTTTATATTTTTGAGGTTTATTTTGATTGTCTTGCTGTTTTTGTCTACATTCGGAAATACTATGTCCGTATCGTCGGCAATAATTACACCATTTTTTGAAAGATGGTTTGCCTTTAAAGTTTGGGTTCTTTTCGTAAATATTGAGTATTTCAGTGATTTTTTCAACGAGGTCTGTCTCTGATTCCTGTATATTATTAATATTAGTGGGAGTCGTTTCAATTCTGTTAACGTATTGTAATTTCAGATTTTCCGTTTCTTCTAGTTTCATTGTGATTTCTGCTTGTTCTAATTTGTCTACTAGTTTTCGAAAATCTATATCGGGTTCTCGAATTGAAGAAGGATGGGATGCTCTCTTTTTTATTGCTATTTTCCTTAATTGTGGTGTTAAGGTCATTATTAATATTTCTGTCATCTTTGTGTTTTTATAGTCGTGCGTATTTAGTGAATATGCTTTTCGAACTAGTGTTTCGATTCGTACTGCTATTTGCTTGATGGTTTCGTTTGGTAATCTGCGAATTTCATTACACAAAACTCTTTGTTGTTGTTTGTTTCTTTCTGAGTCAAACATTTTTGAAAATTCCTGTGTAAACCTTTTCCAGTTTGATTTTATTTCTAGAGGTAGTACTGAAAACCAGTTTTGGGCTGCGCCATCTAAGGTTGTTTGTATTAACGCTGTGCGTCGATGTATCCAATTTTGATGTAGTGGCGTATTAATTGGTTCAGGTCCAATATTTAAAATCAGGTTTGCTGTTACTGCATTTAAATAATCTTCTACAGAGTATTCAGGGTCTGTTCCTGTGAAAACCATTAAAGGTTTGTTTGATGTTATTGATGATCCACCCATAAGGTATGGATTCATTGTCATTTGTAATGATTCTGCTGCATTTGGCATTTGAGAAAAATTTGAAAGTTGGTTTCTTGTTATTTCATGTTGTTGGAGATAATATGGGAGTGGTATTTCATTTTGCATTTGTGATGCTTGATACGAGTGTGCAGTCATTGGATTTTGTTGTTGAATTGGTTGAAAAGATTGTGTATTAATTAGATTTTGTTGTTGAATTGGTTGTTGATGTTGTGCATCTATTGGTTGTGGAGAAAAATTTCTATGATTTGTACGTGTTCTCTGTATTCCTTGTCTACGATATTCTTGAGTATTTGGTGCAAATATATCTGGTTGTAAGAAATCATCATCTGAGGATAAATAATCCATTTGATAAGATGTCTGTTTTTTATTTTTATTTTGTTGAAAAAATGGGTAATTTTCACTGTGATCCTGTGGAGGATTTGTTTGGAAATTTATCGAATTAGGTTGGGTCATTGGGTTATCCCAATTTCGAGATCTTGTATATTGGTTAAAATTTCTTTGTGGTTGGTTATATGTTTTTGATGGATGTATATAATTATAATTATGGTCTGCAAAGTTGTTTCTAGTGAATGTTTTGCGTGTTTTTGATGGTATTGTCATGGGTCTGTATGTTTGGTAATCCATATGTGAATATTTAGGGGCAACCGAAGGTTTAACGGTTGATTGTAAGGTTACCTGTGTTTGTGAAGGATTTGTATTTCTTGGTGTTGTTAAATTTGGGCGTATTGGTGAAATACTTTGTTGTGTAGTTGTTGTGTGTACAATTTCTTCATTTATGAAGTGTGATGGTGTCTGGATATCTTGTTGAGTAAGATTCCTAGTTCCATTGAGGTTTTCATTGTGTATAACTGTAGAGTTTAAACTATTATTTTGTGTATCGGGCAAAAATGTATTATAGTTTAATGGTGTTGCATCAATGGTTAATGGTATTACTTTTACATAATCTCTTATGTAAGATATCGTACTTATTGCTTGACTTGAGATTGATTGTGGGAAGCTTATAAATGCGGGATGAGACCATTCGGGGTCCCAAACATAATCTGATTGTTCTGTGATAGCGGTATCATCGTTCGAGTTTTGGGGTCTAAAATTTTTTCTTGCTTGTGCAATTAAATCAATATTGTGTGTGAAATAATCTATTATGAACCATGCCAAAATTTTTTGTAGATCGTGTTTTGTATGTTGTGAAACGTCGTCTTTCGTGAAATTTTCTTTAATGATGTTTAAATAACTAGAGAGTAGTGTGATTTCATGTCGTACTCTTAAATGTTTAGATGTTTCTGTCGGTGAGACATTTGTTAATGGGATTTCGTTTTCTAATATCGAAATATAACTATATATTATTGCGAAAACTTCATTGGTGAATATGGAGTTTGCTCTTTGTGAATTATGATATTGGATGCTTTTTATATATTCTGAAAAAACTTTTGAAAATTCTAAATCAAGATCATCTGTTTGAATTGTATATTTTCTATTATTATGGTTTGGTGAGGTGAATTCTATGGAGTAGATTCCATACTGTTGTGTTATGTTGCATATATCTTTTAAGTAGTGGTCTATGATTTGTCTTTTGATTTTTACATCTGGGAACTCTGTTTTACATGGACTGATTCCGGGTTCAAATAAATTTAATAGTAAATTTTTGCAAAATATATGCTGTCCTCTATCAGTGGTTGCATCTACTATGAAAGGAAAGATTTCATCATCATCTGGACTTTCTTCACCTGGGGTGTGCGTTGAGCTCATTTTTTCGTTCGATGACCGTTAATATGTAATTATTATTGTGTCGAATTGGTTGATTCCAATTGTATAAATGTACTGGTTTGTGTTTATACTGCTTTTTTATTCTTCTTTTTCCTCTTTTTGATGAATTTGAAGTTGTTTCTGAGTCAGAAAAATATAATTGATCGTGAAGGGGGCAATTTTTATCTATTGTTTCTTTTAGTTTGTAAAGTTCGTCTAAACTGTTGGTTTCTGATTCTGAAAATGCGTTTCGATTTTTTGAAAATCTTTTTCGTGTTATTTGTCTTTGTTTCGTTATTATTTTTCTTTTTAGTGTTTGTCGTTTTGTTCGAATGTATCCAACTGTTTGTGTATGAGGTGTGATTACAAGGTCGTATTTTTTGTTATCTATTTCACAATTGTGTAAAACGATTGTTTGTTTATTCCCTAGGTTTTTAAATGACATAAGGTTTAGGATGACGGATGCAAAAGGTTGTTAAATGATTTCTATTTTCTTAAACTGTTAGTTCTTACGATTTTTTGGTTAGCTTAACCTGGGTCTGTTTGTTCAGGGTTGGAGAGAAAAGTATATCGATTCCGAAGAATGATTTTTTACTTTCTCGTGGCTAGTATAAGTTAAGGTGTTAACTTACTTAATCTTACTTAGGGGTAGTGATTGTGTTCAAGGGTTGGAGAATAGTAAATCGATCCACAAGGTTCAGGTATAATTAGAACGCGAGTAGTTCGTTAGATACTATTTTAAACTTACTAAGTCTAAGATTTATCCTGGGTCTGGTAAGAGGGGGGGTCAAGTGAAGGATGAATAACCGAAGTTCTTCACTGTTTATCCTAATTTGAATGATTAGTTTTGTTTAAAAATTTCTATTAGTCTTAGGTCTTTAGAAAGGGTTGGGTAGTGAATCGACGTTTGAGGTCGTTAGACACTAATTAAGTGGGTGGGGGAGAACAAAGTTGTTCTGTTTGATCCAAGGATAAGCCTTGATGATCAAATTTGAAATTTAATTAAGTAGAAAATGATTTAAGATCCAAGGATAAGCCTTGATGATCTGGTTTTAAAATTAAGTGAATTTAAGTTTTAATAAAATTTTAAATGTGTGTAAAGGAAAGATTTAGTGTTTTGATGATATTAGTGGGTTTATGATTGCTGTTACGTTTTAGGTGATGGAGCTGGAACAACAGGATGATTTATGATTACTAACCATTTATTGTCATGCTACTAATTTTTATTTTTATTTTTCAATAAATATTTTTCAAACATGTTTTGTATATTACTGCAGAGTTTTAGGAAAACGATCTTAGATCTTTTTATCAATCGTTATTGTATATTAATAATTTTGTTTAGCGCCTGAAATGATTTTGAAGATTAACTTCAAGGTTTTATGTTTGCAAATGAAAATCTAAATTCATTGCTAGTAGTATTCTAAATATAAAAGTTTGTTCTGGTTTTTGCCTAACTATCATATAGCTATATGGCAAGTTTCTACTTTGTCGTATGTCGTCTCTGGTTCGAGGTCTTCTTCCAATTCCGGGTAGTTCTGTTATGGTTCGGAATATTGGCTCTGATCTATTGAGTCGTAGAGACATTTCGATTAAATTATTGTCGTATAACATTTTTTAAATGTTTTTGTCTAATTTCTAATCTATTTTGGTTAATTCTAAGCTATTAAGGTCTTGTTCGAGACTTATGGTCGCACCAGATGAGTTATGTTCGAGTTGGTTAACTCATAGAGTAATTTCGGATAGGGTACACCGTCTGCTCGTCACGCTATCTTATTTTCGGCCGGATAGATTCGTGCAACTTCTTAGTCTAATACCGATCCTAATCTTACTCTTATACTATCTAGTCTCAGGTTGTTTAACTAGTCTCTGCTAGGCTCAATAGATCTAGGGTATACTGGTTTATTGCGGCTGCTGAAGTGCTCGGGAGAGTCCAACTAATTTCTAAGTTAAATTCAAATCTCTCTGGTGCTGAAATTACAAGTAACTTCAGCACTTACAAATAAGTGGGTTGTTAGTTAGATGGATCATGATTGGTTAACTTTAAATACTTTACATTGGTAAAATATCTAAATTATCCAATCATAAAATGTAGTTTAGATCAGGTTCCAGGAGGGTGATTAGAAGAATTAAGAAGAACAAAGCCGATGGAGTGTTTTTGTATCATCAATAACAATATATTAGCATTGAGAGAAATTCGCAAGTGATGTGTGTTTGTTCAGCTGGGGGTCCCTTTTCGATCAACGAGGGACTGGCCATCAACACTCTGGTGGGGACACTCACTGCCGCAGACACTGACTCGGCCCAGAACCACCACGGACAAGTGAGTATGACAGTCAGAACAGTAAACCGAAAATAGGCTTGGAATTTAAATATTCCTACGAATAAAATTTGCAAAACAAATGTTATATTGCATAAAACTTAAGGAATTTCATTTCAACGTATTTAACAAACTTTACTTTAACGAACTTTATAAAAATGTGCGATCCCAAACAATATCACTATCTTTTCATTTTCTTACATAGTCTTTGAAAGGTTCTCAGTTTTCAGTTCAACTTGGCATGTATGATGGTTATAGATTTCTTCAGGTAATAAACTGTGCCGAAGTGTGTTCTGTGATAGTCTAAGTGTGATAACTGGCCTGTTGGGGTTTATTTTCAGGTGGTGTTTGAACTGGTGGAGCCGAGTGAGTGGTTTGCAGTTGGTGCTCAGAATGGACAGATCAGGAGCAGAGTGGTGCTAGACTACGAGGATGCCGCCATAGCTTCTGCCGGATACGAGGCAAGTTATTACATACACTCACACGAGACCAACTGGTTTTTTTTTTCTTTAAAAGATTTCAAGGTCTTAAATCTTCAGGTTGAGCTGGTGGTGCGGGTGCGTGATCTGGCACCCTCTCCCCCCTCCGGAATGAGCTACTCCACCGCCACTGTCACAGTCGCCATCAACGATGTGGATGACGAAGCTCCCTTCTTCACAAACGCGCCCATGTGAGCACTTTCCTCAAAACAAATACTTGCTCATAACGCCGACAAAAAACCAGTATAAAGTGTTGAAACCACTTTATGCATTTAAAAGGCTTGCCTCAGTCGCATTTATCCTTATTTGAAGACTTTTCTCGTTATTTTGACTAACAAACAATATTTTGCCTTATACTTAATAATTGTGTTTGCATAATACGTATCTTTTCTTTAGATTTTACCATAGTCATTCATTTATCGTCCATGAATTGGGTTGTTTCTGTTTCAGGACCATACACGTGGATGAGGGCACCACAGGCACAGGTGTGGCCACAGTGCAGGCGGAGGACGAGGACACAGCCGGGGCCAGTCTGGTGTTCTCGGAACGGTCCGAAGTGCTGTCCCCCTCTCAGACGGCCTCCGCCTCCATCACTATACAGTCCGACGGGAGAGTGGACGTGACTGCTGCTGTGGATGCAGAGACCATAGGGTCACAGTCCATACTTGTGGGGGTGAGTTCTTTATTCGCGGGTGAGAGCACAAGCTGACCTAATGGAACGACCTTGAGTTAAGGACAGCTCAGAAAAAAATGACTTCAAATTCAAAAAAATAATAATAAAGTGAGTTTATCAGTCAAAAACAAAAAAAAGTATATAGCATATTGCATTCAGCGACTTCTTTCAATTTTCATGGTGATCAACCAAATGTGCCGAATATGTTGCAGGTGCGTGTGTGTGACAGCGGGGCTTGTGTGAGGTATGCGGACTCGTATGTGTTCGTGAAAGTGGTCCGAGTGAACGAGTACGACCCCATCTTCAACCAAGTGTCGTATGCATTCACAATGCAGGAAACATCACAGGTGAAATCATTCTGCAATACCAGATAACTGTCTGTTTTTTAGCCATTTTTTAAAATTCAGTTTACAATATCATCGTCTAATTAAGTGGTCATTTTAAGCAGTTTCTGTCATTCCTATAGCTTATAATCACGTGCTGTGCAATCATAAAAATGGCAGTATGCTGTCTGTATTGCTGTTTTTATGGGCTAAAATTCTTAACGGCTCGGCCAAAATTAATCCAAATCATGCTCGACGAAGAGAGACGAGCGGCCAGCGTAATTGGGTAGAGCATCTCTACTTGAGTTTGTTCACAGGTGGGTCATTTGGTGGGGAGGACGAGAGTGTTGACCGCTACGACAGTGGGCAGTGTGGATGCAGGAGTGGACAAGAATGTGACCTATGCCATCACCACCTCCCAACAGTACTTCTCCATCAACCCACACACCGGCACCATCACCCTCAAGGCACCCATCGACAGGTCAGTCCAGAGCAGGGGAGGGAGAAGGGGAGGGGAGAGGAGAGGGTGGAGACATATAAATTATGTATAATCAAGAAAAGTTCAAGACAAAAAACAAAAATGCCACTCTGAAATGTCCAAAAGTGAATGAACAATCAGTTATCAGTTAACATTAAACATATTCAATTGAAACTAACGAGCTTGGCACGATCTGAGGTTGACTCTTATAGTTACATTTTGATATGATTTAGTAAGTCTATCATTATGGCATCTGCCAATGACTACGACCCTGACAATTTTCTCAGTACTGAGCTAGTTTTCGAAAACTGGTTGAAGCCGGTTGAATCAAAAATAAAAAGGTTGAATATGATGTATCACTCGGCGCCACTCTACGTTTACTTGTGGTACTTGACTTGTATAAGAACAAAATAAATAAAACTAAGAAAAAAAACGTCTTTCATTTGGACTTTTTGGATCGGAAAAACAAAAACGTTGTCAGAAAAGTGGGGCATTTACCAGCTTTTCTTGAGGCATCCCTAACTCGTTGGAAAAAAAGTTATGTTCTGTGTTGTCAGGGAGATAGTGAGCTCAGTGTCGTTCGTCGTGAGAGCGACAGACGTGAGTGACACTTCGAGGACAACAGATGTGAATGTGGCCATCACAGTGACAGACACAAACGACAACAGTCCAGTGTGCAACTTGGGACCAGTGCTGGACACACAATATGTGAACGAAGAGGTCAGCTGTCTTTTTTTGTCTGCTTTCTATTTCTTGCATTGTTTTTGTTCATTCTTTTTTCTGCACAATTTTTCTACCCAAACAAACGTGACTTTTTGAAATTATAATTGTTGTGAGAAACTTATTAAATAGTTCCAGACAATGACTGACGTTGAAATGATGTTCTCCCATGATGATTCAAACATCACATTCACACAACAACTGCTATTTGGGTTTGACTCAACGCCTGACCAACCGGCTGGGATTTTGGATGTCCTCAAGAATTTTCTAAAAGGTTTTGAAAAGCAATCACAGGATTCTAAGCTGCTCAAAGAAGACAAAATTGAATTTGAACATCGAGTTGTCGACAGCCAGATCAATACAAAGAATACCGGAGAGGGTGGTTGGACTTGAGGAAACTTCTAGGAAAACTCCCTGACATTCACAAATAAGGATGTCAGCTCCGACCCGTTACATGATGTGCTAACAATTACGCATGAAGATATGAATATAAAATTGAATAAGCATAACCTAGCAGCAAGTCATCCATTAAAAAGTAATTCAATTGCGCCTGGATTAGTAAAACTTTTTCAGGCCAGTCATGATAATTTCTGGAGACGCGCATGGAAATAAAATCATCTATCATAAACTCTTAGCACAAGAATTTAGAATACAGTTCTCCTCAGTTGTGAAAACTCAAGCAAAAGCTTTCACTGCAATTATGGTAAGCTGTTCAACATATGTGCCTTTTTCTATTCATTATAAAAATATATCCACCTGATGTTTCAAATGCCATCAACTTTTTTTAGAATGGTAAACACCTGCTAAAAAGTAATTTGATTTTCTAACGCTGTTGTCACCAGTTATATTAACTGAAATTGCTTGTATCTTCGAAGATGCTGGAACTTTTTCTGATCTACTCGAAATAGCTAAAGTAAAACCCGTCTTCAAGGAAGAGGACCAAGTTAGTTTCTTAAATATTTGTCTAATGTCGCTCTCACCACTAATATGTTAAATTTTTGAAAACAAATATATATGGGCAATTAATGGACCTGTTTTCCGAAGTTCAAGTTTTTGAACTCATGAGTTAGGACCGAGTTGGTTAACTCATAGAGTAATTTCGGATAGGGTACACCGTCTGCTCGTCACGCTATCTTATTTTCGGCCGGATAGATTCGTGCAACTTCTTAGTCTAATACCGATCCTAATCTTACTCTTATACTATCTAGTCTCAGGTTGTTTAACTAGTCTCTGCTAGGCTCAATAGATCTAGGGTATACTGGTTTATTGCGGTTGCTGAAGTGCTCGGGAGAGTCCAACTAATTTCTAAGTTAAATTCAAATCTCTCTGGTGCTGAAATTACAAGTAATTTCAGCACTTACAAATAAGTGGGTTGTTAGTTAGATGGATCATGATTGGTTAATATTAAATACTTTACATTGGTAAAATATCTAATTTATCCAATCATAAAATGTAGTTTAGATCAGGTTCCACCCATCCGGGTTTTACAGAGTTTTTTAGAATAGTTCTTCTGCAATTCGAAGGATGGATGATGGACGTTGGTGTTTGGCGAACATCTTATTTCTTCTGTTTCCTCTTTGTTAAAGAAGTTCCAGGAAGCTGGAGTTAGAGACATAAGACGTTGTGTCTTCTAGTGACAACGACTAAGTCTTTGCAACAAACTCAAATCTGATTTCAGAATGGTTTGCTATGTCAGGTTTTTCTGTTCTGCGTGGAGAACTTCTTTTGTGTCTGATCTAGTTTGGGAATGGCGTGGAGATTGTGCGTGGAGGGGATGCCTGGTTACTCGGATCTGTACGTATACTTGAACATCGAGGTGGTCATTGGTCTAGTTCAATGAAGTCCTTTTCTGCGAAGTCAAGTCGTACTCTAAATCCTTTGAGTTGTGATTGTGAGTGGCATATCGATTGTGGTTGGTCATTCTCTCTCGAGTGTAGTGGGGTCGTTTTGTCTTTAGATGTTCGTCCTTGGTGTTGTATTCTGATCTATGTATTGCATAATGTAATTTACATTTTATAAAACATTTATTAGTTTAATATTTTTTAATTATGATTTTAGTTAGTTGTTTTCACAAAAGCTTTTTGTTTTAGTTCGGTTATTTTGAAGAGTTACTCACACTTGAGTAGCTCTTATTAAAAATAGAGGTGTGGTCACAAAGCGTGGATGTAGCACGGTGGGTTAGGCCGGCTATAGAGCATGCTCAGGACGTCCTTCCTGGTGGGTTAGGCCAGGAGTGGGAGTATGATTTCATGCGGTTTTTGTGAGGGGTCCTGTTATGTGACAACGTTTTATGTTGGGTTTGTTGTGGTTTTTCTTATGTCTTGTTGGTTATGTCCTTTTTCCAAAAAGCAAATTGTTCGTGGTATGGGTTTGTCTTTCGACTTTTTTGTGTTTTATTATTTCTTTCTTAGACTTTATAATAGTCTTCAAAAGAATAAATTATCCAGTTTTAAACTGGGTTAATCCGGTTTGGGTACCGTTGGTTTCCTTTTCTTAGTCATGCTGTTATTCTATGATTTGTGGTATTTAGTAAGCTGCGTTGGTTAGTTTTGTTTAGTATATGATTCCTTTCCAACCGGGTTAAAGGAAAGTTTGAAACATGTTATTATATGTTAGAGTTGTTGAGTGTGAAAACTTGAAACTGAAATTCATTATTTTAAACAATTCTTCGTGGGCGAGCTGTGCGAGTGTGGATAGAATTTCTGTGCGAATAAATGAGAATATCAAAAGGTTAGTACTGCATTTGCATTTTATTAATTTATTGCATAGAATTTGGAAATTTACTGCTAGTTTATGGGGGAATTTTAAGTTACAAATTTTCATCATAATTAGATTTACTGCTTGTGGGGAAAATTTTAGAAATGAATTCACTGCATTGGTATTAAATTTATAAATTTATAAGTGTAAGAGATTAATAGAATTGTTGAAATCTGTTTGATGAAATTTGCGATCTTTATTTGTTTTTTGTGGTTTTTGAAGGTGATCGTCGGATGAAGGCTAAAAATCTAAAGAAAACATGGATAAAGTATGGTGAGTTTTTTAATATTTTAATTAGTTAGTAATATTCATTTAATTCATACTTACTTGTTAGTCGTCGGGGAAAAAACCGTGGGGGAAGATGTCGTGAATTAGTTCTGAAGTTGTTAGTAGTTTAGCTAAGATGCGGATGATATTTTTAGTTTGAAGCAGTGGCCAAAGCAATTGAAGTGCCTTAATAGTGGTTAGTTCTTCAGTGCCAACTGCAAACTCATAAGGTGTGTTTTGGATTAGATTATATAATTTGTGATTGAATTTAGTGTTGTGGATGAATTCTAAAATTGGGATTTCTATAGGTTGTACAAACTCGTGCGGGATAAGGAAGGGTCGGGATTCTTCGGCGTTGAAGGTCTTGGTGATGGGACAGAAGATGTACATTTGGGTTATGGGATCATAATTGCGAAGAATACCATGAAGGTTAGTATCTTTAATGCAATATGTGAAATTTAGGAAAAATGGTGAAGTGTATTTGGAATTAATGAATTGAAAACGATGGTGTGGTTGTCTAGAGGGTGTGTGTAGGTCAAAGTGATTTTGGATGAAGCGATAATAACTATATGTGTGGGTTTGTTTAGTGCGCAACATAATATCGTGTGAGCAGTGTAAATCTCTTTCGTGTGGTGCAAGGAAATGAAAGGTTAGTGAAAATATTTGGAAGCGTTCTTTGAAACTTTCGTATGCTTGTGTGTCTATTAGTGCTTCTGAAATAATGTGATCAAACTTTCGGTCGAAGATGTTTAGTGTAAATATATATGGTGTCTTGATGAAAAATTTCTCAGTAATTTGTGGATTAGCGAAGCGATCGTCGTCTAAGAATTGATCTTGGTTAGCTCTGATGATGTTGTGATCATAGTATTCGAGTGTATATTCGTTAGCTCTAGGTGCAGTGTGTGTTTTTAGTGATTTTTTATATCCAACGTAAGTAAATTGTCTAGCGGTTAGTGGTGTAGTGAGTCGATATAGCATGTCCGTATTTCGCTCTATATCGATGTGAGTGTTAGATAAAGGTAAGCAAAGAGGGTTAGTAAAATGATAATATGAGGTCCAAGAGAGAGTGGGCATTAAAACGTATTCATCTACAAAGTTGCGTGTTTCGTTAGTGTCGTGGGGGGTGTTTAAGGTGTATTGTGGGAATGAGGGTAAGGTGATGGCTAAAAATTCTTTTGTGTTAGTATGCTTGGGGTGGTTGATGTATTCACGGGCTGTTCCTGGTTTTGCTGGGAAAGGATGGTTGGGGAACTTTCTTTTAAAAGTGCGGTAAGCTCTATTAGTGTTGAGTGAAGATTCAGTTGATGTGGATGATGGTGCTAATGATTCAGTATAATTTGAAGAGGGTGTAGGGGTAGGGGGGTTGGATGAATTTATTGTGGAGGAGATTTGGTTTATGGTTGGGGTATTAAGGTGGTAGGGTTGTTGTTGAAGGGTAATAAAATTATCTAGCTCTGGGGAGATTCGGGGGGTGTCTGGAGAATGAGATGATTGGTCAGAATGGTATGAGGAGTAGGTTGGGGTAACTTGGGAAGCATAAGAGGGTGTGGGAGTGATTGGGTCAGGGTTATTGGATAATATGGGTTGAAAAGGGGGTTGAGAAAAATTAGAAGAGTCATGAAAATTATTGGATGGGGATGGTTCTGAGTCGGCAAATTCATCGGGGGTTTCAATATTCGGGTTATTGAGTTGTGAGATGGAATATAAAACGGAGATGTGTGAATTAGTGTCGGAATTCATGCCTGATGTTACATTACTAGGTGGAAAATCGGGTGGCGGAAAAGCAAAAAGTGGTATTATTGGGATTGGAGAGGTAAGATTGGTTGGGTGGGAATTTGATCGGTGTAGTGATCCAAGTTGGCGGCTCATCGTGGGCTAAAAAAATGATTATTTTGAGACTGAAAAGCGGTGGTATGGGGTTGTTCAATAATTTGTTCATAAGTATTATCATCTTGTGACTGGTGTGTCATTATATG